CAAAAAGTGTTGATTTCTATGCAATCGTTGGAACCGTTCGATAGACCCGATTGTCGACAAGTATTACAAGAGTATAACCACTGGTCTATCGATGCAATGCATGTCACAACTGATCCCAACTATAAGACTATATTAAATAATATAATGACAGATAATAATGACTTTTGCAGAAAATATATTCTATCAAAATTAACAACAAATGAATTAATTGTTAAAAACATTTATCTATAATATGGTTGACAAAAGTAATACACACTTTACTTTAGAATACACTATATGCAAGAATTAGCATGTTTTAATTGTAACATGCTAATTATTACTAATAATTTATTAGTTAACTTACAATTATTAGTTAAGTTGTAATTTTAACTTGTTACTGTTATAATAATAATAAGATGAACATATTGGTTATTGTTCTTAAAGTGTAACGAGATTTATGATTTTTGAATATAACTGTTTAATTACGTGATTTTATTATGATGATTTGACTCAAATCATTTGAGTCCCTTTGTATGGTATTGATTATTGAAATATTTAATTTTAAATTTAATTAATTATATAAATGTGCAACATAATAAATAACATCCTGGATTATAAATGATAAATCACACATTATCAATTATAAAACGTTTAATATAAACAATATATTGTTATTTCCCTCACCTCGTACAATATAATTGTAATTTACAAATAACACCATGGTCGATTACAATTTTTAATTGTGTTTAATTAAAACAAACAATTATTACCAAATGTTCCCTAAAAAAGTTTACAACAAATAAAAACCTTGTGATTAAGTCATTGAAAAATCAGAAAACTTATTAAATGTAAAAACAATGATGACATTGAAAATAACGTGCCGTTGGGGGCAATGACTGACCCAAACCCTCAGCCACTGGCAGTCAATAGACAACAATCCATACGTTATGTCACTCTTAGTGCACGTTATTTATGAACAATGAATAAAAAGTGATTGCATTTAAAGCACAAAAACTCAAACACTTGTTGTTATTGTGTTTAAAACGCGAGACAATTATCACAAAAAAACAAGTCTTAGCGGACATCCACTCTAGAAGTGATACATACAAGTGATACACATCTCCCGAAGACATGCCTCAGAGTGTGGACAACGCGTACGGATTGGAGACAATCAATGGTAAAGTGTATTACGAGTGCTTTCTATGCGATAAAGTGGTGGTGAAGTGCGAGAAAGACATTGTCCGACACGTGTTTCGGGACCACTTGGGGTCACAACCCGTGGCCACCGGTCGGGACAGTCACGCGTCCGGCGATACCGTAAACAGTGGCCAAACGCCGAGGTCTGATCAGATAAACATGATTATGATCATTACCAACATTATCGACATGATCATCAACATTATTAATAGTCATTATAATTATTATAATTATTATAATTATTATAAACATTATTACGATAGACACGTACAACGCGTACCCGAAGTGGAGGCCAACGTATCCACGGATCAGCTCAACGATCGTACGTATAGACAGAGAGATGTAAAGTATTGTAAATATCATATGTTTGCCATTAGATGACAAAACCGTGGCCTCAATATCGGCTCAGAACAGAGACAATGCGAATACACAGCCAAAGAGTTTACCCCGTAATGAGCGCCTGATCGCCAGTCGATCGCCGGCTCACACTTCTGGCCAGTCTTTGCCGAAACGTCGCCGCAATGGCCGCAAACACGTCGTCCCCAACGATCAGAAGTTGATCACTGATTACTGGCCGGTGTCTAGACTACAGGCAACTAAAGTCAAAACCATTGGATCTACTCATCAAACAAGTGCTGAGCCTTTGTCGGCGCCGACCACTAATCAATCCGATGACCAGCCGATGGACAATGACTTTAATGTGGACACAAAGCGCTTCTCGTGTCTGGAGAAGGGCTGCGGAAAGACATTTGGTTTTATGCAGTCATTAATACAACACCGACTCAAACACAGCCAACGGGTGGACAAAACGGCCGCCAATTTGACCACAAAAGCCAATACAATACCCAAAGCTGTCCGTACGTCGAGAACCGACTACAGCGGCGGCTATAAGTGGTACGACTCGTTCACTGGCGTCCAGAAAATTGGCCACAAGTGGTATAAAGTTCATCGTCTGAACGACCGGTCAGTCAACGCCCAGAAGGAGTCGCACCGACACGACCTTAACTACCGGGGCTTACAGTCGCTTAAGAACCTTAACCAGTGGTACCGATGCGACCCATTGCGAGGCCAACGGTACTACCGATGCCTCTACGAGACCTGTACTTACGGCACATACAAATCGCAACAAATGGCACAGCATTTACACTGTAAACACTTCCAGACTCGACGGTTCCCGTGCCGTACGCCCGGATGCGGTCACGTCTACCTAACGCCTCAATCTCTGCGCCAACACGAGCGCAATCATCGGTGCGGTTTTGGCACCGGTAGAGGCGGTGTAATGTCCGGCCCGTGCGGTAACCGAAACATATTTAAATACCGGATTGTGATGAGAGGCCCGGACGGGCGCATCAGTGCCTACGAGTGCGCCTTTTGTCACCGACGTATGCGTTACGATATGACAATCAAACGGCACATCCATAACCAACACCTGTGTCCGGAGCGCGTGCTTTGGGTCGAGTGTCCGCCACCGACCGGTGACACCGACTCTGGAGTCCAGTTGAGTCCAGTCCAGACAACTGCCGCCAATGATGGTAGTGATGGCGACGACATACAGATACTCGATGAAAGTCTGACCACCGATGGCCGTCGCGGCCGACTCCTGACCACCGCCAGCCCAGAGGTGAAACAGTGGCTCCGGGAGCGCAGTGTCAGCACCTGTACGACCGAACGGTACGCCCACTGTATGCAAAAGTTGGAGCGATTGGCGCGGATTCGACCGCTTTTTGAACGCCGCTGTATTGACGGCCTCTACCGCTATGTATGCAAAGAGTGTCACT